CCCCCCCCCCCCTCCCCTCAATCTGGCATCGGAATAGGGTGTATGACGTCATTTTGCACACGTACGCGTGTGACGTCATTTTGCGAACGTACGCGTGCATGCAGTTTGCAAAGGAGCACTATAAATTACAGGATTGATGAATAAAATATTGTTATGTTTATAGTTATTGTGAGAGGAATTTAATAGCCATCATCTGGCATCGGAAGTGACGTCATAAGGTGTGAGTGTACAGTACGTGCGGTATGTGCAAATTTGTATCTGACGTCATGCAATGGTGGTACAATTTTTTATTTGATACGGTGTGCGTACAGTACGTGCAATGTTTCAGAAACAAAATCCTCCGAGACGGGTTCGATCCGTCGACCTAGGGATATTATGTGTAATACTCTACAGTCCCTCGCTCTACCAACTGAGCTATCAGAGGTGTACGATTTTTTCTGCTGAAATATATCTGAGAACTCATTTTTATTCTTTTGTAAATATGGTGGTTCTTAAAAGAACCGGTTTCTTTTTCTTTACAGCTGCAGCCATAGACAGCCACGCCACGTGGATTTTCCGCACTCTAAGGTGACAATTTATCGATACATTCTAATGCAACGCCTAGTTTTTGTGCACACTCGATATGCTGCCTCGTACCCAGGCGTCTCTTTGTAAAAAAAACAGTGATGCGCATATGACGAGTTTACATGAAGTATTGTAGTGGGGAAAGATGGCGAAGGGGCTGATGGGAAGATTGCACTTGAACTGCGAGACCGTGCTCCCCAGCACGCACCCTTCCCAACAGCCCCTTCGCGCGTCGGCTGCCTACCTGAATACTTCATGTAAGCGCCTGGGTACGAGGCAGCTCGATATGTATTGTAGAATGTCAGGTCGATGAGAGATCGATGTGAGGTCGATTCCCTGGGGCTTCCATGGGGGTTCTTTGTTTGTAAACACCAGTACGTAAAGGAACTTATGAGCAGATGGGCATGTGCTCGTAACTGCTCATGAGCACATGTTCATCTGCTCATAAAACTGCACTGTTGCTCAATAACAAGGAATTTCTGCACAGTCAGTGCTAACAGAATGAGCTGCCAATTTTGCGGAAAGCAATTTAACCGGGGTTACAATCTACGAAGACAAGAAAAGGAATACTGTCCACTATGCGAACAAGAAAGAAACATGTCTCAAACGGACTCAGATAGCCAGGAAAGGGATTTCCAAGATGATGTCTCCACAACTTCAACTCGTGTGTCTGAAAGTTCGACTGATGAAACTGAAGAAATGGATCTTTGGATACCATTGAAAGAAGCAAAGCAAAGAAGTAATATAGCTTTTGAGGAAATGAAAGAAAGCCTTATCAAGGTTGGGCTACATGAGCAATCCGCTAAGGACAAAGCTGACTCTAATATTCTGCCTAAACTCCAGAAGGAACTGGAAAATATTTATACCGTAAACCTCCAACTATAAGCCCTGGGCTTATATTCTTTCGTAAGCAATTTTTGATGGGCTTATACAAAGGGGGGCTTGTATACAGGGGGCTTATACATGGACGATCTTTTGTGTTAGTGTAATAGTGATAAACAAGTATAGTAATAGTGATAAACAAGTGGGCTTATATTTGGGTGGGCTTATATTCGGGGCGGGGGGGTTTGCTTATATTTGGAATGAAGTGAGCGTACATGTGGTGGGCTTATACACGGGGGGGGGGGGGGGG